AAGCTCGGCAACACCCTCGACTATTTCATGGATGAGGAATCGCTAGCTGCGGTATGTGAGGATGTTGAGACACTCATGGATCTACCCGAAGGTACCCTTCGCCAGAAGCTGGGATCCAACGAGCGCGAAATTGCTATTGGTGGCATCTATGAAGCCATCGTCGACTACGTTGTTGCCCACGCCAACACCTCGATCAAGGAGGACATCCGCCGTGCCAAGTCCGGATTCGCTATGGACGACAGTGACGGCAGCGGAATGATGACGCCTAACGAGTCCGAGGATGGAGACATTGTTAACATCACTGTCGTTGAGATTCCCAGTCGCTCGTTGGGCAAAGCGATTGCGCTGCGTACTGTGTTTGACGACAGCGAAGGCATCAATGCTGAGATGCGAGACGACGGTGTACAAGTGCCGCCTGTTGGTAACTCCGTTCTCGAGGCCATGCGCGAGGCCATGCAAAGCTGTGCAGTCGAGCTCGGCCTCAATGGACCTGCTCTCCGTGAGAAGGAGACCGAGTTGGAGAAGCGCGAGACTGTATTGGACAAGCTCGCACTCGAGATCCCAGAGGAGGATAACTTCGTGAAACAGATGCTCTATCCGGTACCTAACAGCGGCGTAGTCCTAGGCAAGCACGGCCGTTTCGACCTGGCCATGACAGTCGCAAGTAGCAGAGTTTGGTTCCAGCTGGCTATTCATCCCTCAGATTCTATCCCCGCTTCGCTGAACCAGGATCTCAATTCTACATGGCAGGCCGGTGTGGTATCCCGACAACTCCGTGAGTGGCGATTACCCGAGTGGGCAAATCGCCGCAACCGTAATCTTGATTTCACTGCCGATTTTGACCACCACGAGTTCTATGACCGATATGCTCCACTAGGTTGCATGGACGGCCAAGAGGGCATCCAAAACTGGATTCTGCAACGCGGCTGGAGTAACGGCGAAGTCATGGTGGGTAAGGAGCGCGTCTGGGTCAGGGAGGGCACATGGTGGGAGGCTGAATCGCAGCTTGACCTCAAGACACAAGAGATGGGCGGTTCTCCCAACATGCTTGGTGGCATGATTGGAGCTGCTGGCATGGAGAATGGATACCCCACTCAACTCCCGCCCACAGCAAGCGCCTTCTTTCCACCTCTTCCAGACATGTCTGCTACTCCCCAAAACCCTTTCCAGAGCTCTACAAGTCTGGCTGTGCCGGGGGCTGCAGATGCTAAGTCAATCGCCCCTACTACACACACCCTTCCCACGACGGGTCCCGGTGATTACGGTCTCGGAATGAAGGGCGACGAGAACAAAGGCGTCACTTACTATGACATGGAGTCAGGTGGTAATGCCGTCGTCACTGAAACCCCTCTCACTGGTACCCGAAGGCTCTGGGTCGCCTTTGTTTGGGCCCTCACCTTCTGGATCCCCTCACCACTTCTCAAGTGGTTTGGTCGTATGAAGCGACCTGATGTGCGCATGGCGTGGCGTGAGAAGCTTGTCTTGGTCATGCTAATCGTGCTGCTAAACGCCACTATCGTTTTCTATATTGTCGCTTTCGGTAAACTCTTGTGTCCGAACAAGGACAAGGTCTGGAACACCAAGGAAGTATCAGCGCACCAAGGCGAGGACGACTACTACGTCAGTCATCGTGGTGTGGTTTACGACCTGACTTCTTTCTGGAAAAAGCAGCACAGCGACTCCAACACCGAGGCTACACGGGATCGAATGATGGAAATGGCTGGTGCCAACATGGACCCATATGTCATCCCCCCGCTATGGATTGCTTGCCCCAATCTGATCGAGCCAACCGATCAAAACAAAGTCCTTCAGCTGACTCTCAACGAATCTACGGCTGAGAATCTCAACTCGATCGCCGTCCACAAGTCTGGTTCGATGACAAATATGCCAGACAGCAACGCGTTGAAGAGCGACGTATGGTACCCCAAAGTCTTTCTCCCCGCTATGAAGGAATTCAGAAAAGGAGATCTCGTCTGGGAAGAAGACAAGGTCAAGAATGAAGGTGAAGATGACAATCACATGTGGTTCAGGCTCGACGAGAAGATTTACGACTTGACCGACTACTTCGCCACAATCGACTATATGCAAAACCAGGCTCAGTACAACTTCCTTGATGCCAAGTTGATCGATATGGTAAAGAGCAATGCTGGCCAGAACCTGATGGAGGACTGGAACAACAACCTGAACAAGACTACGCGAGAGAATAACCTGCAATGTCTGGAAAACCTGTTCTACGTCGGCAGAACTGATTTCCGCAAGACGGCCAAATGCCAGGTCAACGACTACATTCTACTAGCCTTCACTATCATTCTCTGCGCGGTCATTGTCATCAAGTTCTTAGCCGCCCTTCAACTGGGCTCTCGTAAACGCCCCGCAAACCAGGACAAGTTCGTCATCTGCCAAGTGCCAGCCTATACCGAAGGCGAGGACTCACTCCGGAAGAGTTTAGACTCTCTTACCGCCCTTTCTTACGACAACAAGCGAAAGCTCATCTGCGTCATTTGCGACGGAATGATTGTCGGTGGCGGTAACGATCGCCCTACGCCCAAGATTGTACTAGATATCCTTGGCGTTGACCCCAAGGTCGATCCTCCTGCGCTTCCATTTTGGTCGGTAGGTGAAGGCAGCCAGCAGCTCAACTACGGAAAGGTCTATTCGGGACTATACGAGTTCGAAGGCAATGTTGTACCGTACATTGTCGTTGTCAAGATGGGCAAAGAGTCGGAACAGCACAAGTCCAAGCCAGGTAACCGAGGAAAGCGCGATTCCCAAATCTTGCTTATGAGCTTCCTTAACCGCGTCCACCACCGTTCGGCTATGAACCCCTTGGAGTTGGAAATGTTCCACCAAATCAACAATATCATCGGTGTTGACCCAGAGCTATACGAGTATCTGCTTATGATCGACGCTGATACCATGGTCAAGCCTGATGCTCTCAACCGTCTCGTAGCGGCTTGTGCCAACGACTCAAAGATCGCCGGTATCTGTGGTGAGACGAGCTTGGAGAATGAAGACCGCTCGTGGTGGACTATGATCCAGGTTTACGAGTACTACATTTCGCATCATCTGTCCAAGGCCTTTGAAAGTTTGTTTGGTAGCGTCACCTGTTTGCCTGGATGGTAAGTACTTGATCCCACCTCGATTAGATGGTGCTAACTCACTTCAGTTTCACCATGTACCGTTTACGCACAGCCGACAAGGGCAAACCTCTCATCATCTCGGATAAGATCATCAAGGACTACGCAGACTGCGTTGTGGACACGCTGCACAAGAAGAACCTTCTCTCGCTTGGTGAGGATCGTTACCTGACCACTCTGATGACGAAGTACTTCCCTGCCATGTCTTACAAGTTTATCCCCGATGCGTACGCCCTCACTGCCGCCCCTGACACGTGGAGCATTCTGCTTTCCCAGAGACGTCGATGGATCAACTCAACCATCCACAACTTGGCCGAACTTGTCTTCCTTAAGGACCTTTGCGGTTTTTGCTGTTTCTCCATGCGATTCGTTGTCTTCATCGACCTTTTCGGTACCCTCATCCTTCCATCCATCTGTGCGTACCTGGTGTATCTCGTCTACACCGTCTCTACGGGCAAGGGTCAATTCCCCATGTTCTCGATTGTCATGTTGGCAGCCGTCTACGGTCTCCAGGCGCTCATCTTCATCATCAAGCGACAATGGCAACACGTTGGGTGGATGATCATTTACATCCTGGCCTTCCCCATCTACTCTCTCGCCCTTCCTATGTACTCTTTCTGGAAGCAGGACGACTTTTCGTGGGGTAACACTCGTGTCGTCATTGGCGAGCAAGGTGCCAAGCAGGTTCTCACGACAGATGACGAAGGTTTCGATCCCAAGGCCATTCCTATGATGCGATGGGACGAGTACGCTGAGCGCAACGAACTCCCTGGCCGCCGCGGTCTTCCTGGTATGACTACTGAGAAGGGTGGATTCAGCGCATACGAAGACGAAGCGTACGAGATGAACGACATGCAATCTGTCTACTCTTCGGTCAAGCCTGCTTCTACCATCATGTCCAACATGCAGCACATTTCGCACATGCCGCCGCAGTCGCCTGGTCCGTACCAAGGCATGCAAACGCGTCAATCGACGTACTCGAACTTGTCGCGCTACCAAGACAACCCGCACCAGAACCGCGTCATGTCTATGAGCAACATGAGCGACATGTACAATGGCAACAACGCTTCTCCTTATGGGCAACGACAAAGCATGGGCGGCTTCCAGAGCTCAGACAACCTGATGACATCGTCTACACCACCGGTCCGTGGCCGCAGTCCTCTCAGCTACGGCGCAAGCATGTCGCGACCTGGTAGCACAACCAACTTCCAGAGCATGATGAACGGGCCGACGGATGGGCAGATTATCGAGACCGTTCAGGCATGTCTCAAAGACGCGGACCTCGACAGGGTCACTCGCAAGCAAATCATTGCGCTTGCGGAGCAACGGCTGCAGATGCAGCTGAGTGGCGAGAGGAAGATTTTCCTCACGCAGGCCATTGACCATGAGCTTGCCAACATGGGATAGGAAGAAATTTGAGAATTGATTGCATTTAGCGGTGTTGTCTGGATATGTTTGCACGGCAGTAACGCCATTTAGTCGTTCCTTTTTGGAAAATCATGTATCGTTTACATCTGGCGCAAGATTTACATGGGAAAACTCGGGTGTCTGGGGAGCTAGCTAGGCTGTATTTACATCGTTGGCTTGATGTAATGATAATAGGACATTGTTGTTGCATATAATACTATTCTGCCCATTTGCGTGACTTTGGGGGTTGGTTGGTTAGCCTGGAGCGGTGGCTGCACGGCTAGCGTCAGGTAGCTACGTACCCCAGCCCAGCAGTCGCGCGGCCAGAGCTCCGCCATGCCGGCATCCCGTAACCAGGACGCCCGAATCTCACCACGACGACATACACAAACCCGCCCTGCCCGACCTCTCTATCCTCCAACCTGATACTCGCCACATCCACTCCAGTGCCCAAACATGGCGCCAAACCGCATCGAGCAAGACGAGATCGAGAAGTACTGGGAGATATTCAGTTCGCTCAGCAATGGCGGCACCCACCTCGACGGCGCGCAGGCAGCGCCTGTCCTCAAAAACTCACATTTGCGCGATGACCAGCTGGAGAGGGTGTGGGACCTGGCGGATGTGGACAACGATGGCAAGCTCGACTTTGAGGAGTTCTGTGTTGCCATGAGACTCATCTTTGACTTGATCAATGGGGTATGTTTCTTCAAGATGTGCCGTCTGGAGGAACCCAAGCGCTGATGGACATGTCTTAGATATCGGTCGATGTACCCAAAGTCCTCCCCGACTGGCTTGTCCCCGAATCAAAAGCCCATCTCGTGCAAGCCACGCGCGCCCTCTCCGGCTCCCAGCCCGCCTACGAGACCGTCCACGACGACGACGATACCCCCGGTCTGCGCGACGGCTTCGACTGGTACATGTCGCCGTCCGACAAGGCCAAGTACGAGGAAATCTACACGGCGAACCGCGACGGCCACGGCAACATTACCTTCGATAGCTTAGCCGGCCTATTCGAGAGCTTAGACAATGTTCCAGACTCGGACGTGCGATTTGCGTGGAACTTGGTAAACCCAAAAGCAAGAGAAAGCGTGGGCAAGGACGCCGCACTAGCCTTCCTCCACATACTCAACCAGCGCAGCGAAGGCTTCCGCGTACCTCGCAGCGTGCCACCCAGCCTACGGGCTAGCTTCGAGAAAGCCCACATCGACTACGACATTGAATCAAACGCAAACTCACGATGGGCCGCCACACGCGACGAGAACACCGCCACGGGTCGCAAAGCCAAGTTTGGCGACGCATACCTCACACGTCTGGGTGTCGGCGACCGTGCCGCAAACTACGGTGCGCGAGGAGGCAAAGGCACAGATTTCGGCGGTCGCACAACAGAAGACTGGGAGGAAGTCCGGCTGAAGAAACAACTGCGCGAGCTCGAGCAGAAGATTGCCGACGTCGAGAAGGAGGCGGAGAACAGACGGCATGGCAGGAGCAAGGATAGTAAGCCTGCCCTCGTTAAGCGCGAGCTGGAGCTCTTGCTTGATTACAAGAGGAACGTATTGAAGGATTTGGACAATGATGAGGGTGGCGCGGTCAAGGGGCTTGGTGGAATCAGGGACGAGATTGAGACGGTTAGGGAACAGGTTGAGGGATTGCAGGGACATCTCGACAACAGGAAGAGTGTCTTGGAGGATCTGAGGAGGCAGATTGATGATGAGAAGGCGAGGTGAGGGGCTATGGAGACAGTGTGCTGCGTCAGCCGGTGGTGTTGTAAATATATTTAGCTCTGGGTTTTCGAAGCTGATGGAACAGCAAGTCGTCTTTGAAACACAACATCTTACATTCTTGTGCATACTTCTTCAAGTTTGTTCAAGCTGTGCTTCCAAATGCCTCTAGCTCTAGTCTCAACACACCGCCATACACAAAGGCCTCACTGGCCCTTCTTTCCAAGCCTTGCAAACAGCTCTGGATGATCAATAGCATACTGTGCCCCGGCAGCCCAATGATACAACTTCGCCGCAATAACATACCCCTCTTTGGCAAACTCCTCCAGCCTGTCATACAGTTCGGCAATAGGGATATTCACTCTCTGGATGTCCTCCCCTTCATCGAGATGCTGCTCTGGCTCCGGATCGCCCTCATTCAAATGAATCTCTACCATGCACAAACACAGATTTGCAGACGTCATCCCTGGATCCGCAGCCACAGGTGGAGAAGTCGAAATCACTTTCCCCTTGTAACCTGTTTCCTCATAGAGTTCACGTACGGCAGCTTCTTCAGGCTTCTCGTCTGCGTCGATAAGGCCCGCGGGCCATTCTACTGTGAAGCCACCAACGGGTGGTCTGAATTGGATGACAACGATTGTAGAGGGGGGTTTGCTGGGGTGGTAGATGATGTTTCCCATTGCGACGGCGTCCACGCCGGCGGATCCTGTTGTTTTCCGAGAGGCAATTTCCCAGATGCGTTCTTTGCCTTTGGCGTCGACATATGTGGCCTTTTGTAGTTTGACCCATTTTGCATCCGAGGAGGGCAGGTCAACGACCGAGGTTACTTTGGGAGTGCCAGTGGAAGACGCCATTGTGACTTTGTTGACGCGGTCGACGAGTGGCGAGGCAAGGCTGCGACTCGTTCTGTGGAGAGACCTTTTTGGTAGGATATATGTGCTTGCGCGTGATATTGTTCGTTTGGTGAGGGGCGTCAACATTGGCCTTTGAGCGGTATCGGGGAATTGGTTATTGGAGTACCGATGACGTTATCGTGTTCGAAGGCAACAAGCACCACAGATGTCAGTGGAGCACGTAGTTGTGACAACAGAACCTCTAATTCCTGCTCTGTGAGTTCGAGATAGTCGAATATATAGCCTGGTATGTTATATGAATTAGGCGCAGTCTCACAACGCCAGTTGAGGTAATAATTGGAAGACCCCACTCTGTTTAGCGTCAGGAACGGCAATTCACGTAACGTCATCCAAAATGCCTCCAAGCCACCGATAAGCCTCACCTATCAAGAGTGCTACTGCACCTAGTTCAGCTCTGTCGCTATTGCTTAGTCTGGGCTCATGTTATTCACTCGTCGCCGTCTGTTTCGTAACAAAGTCCGTTGAGTTTCATCGTTCTTTCTCGATTTTTTCATCATGGCATCGTTGCGCGTTCTTACTCGATCTTCGTTGCATACTAGAACCGTACTCTCAAGCTCAAGACATTTCTCATCAAGCATACAACGAGATGCAGACTTTACCCACGCTGTGATAGGTGGCGGCGTAGTCGGCCTAGCTATAGCCCGCAAACTGCAACAGAGAGATGGCGCATCAACAGTTTTGATAGAGAAGCATGGCTCCGTCGGTACAGAGACCAGCTCGCGGAACAGCGAAGTCATACATGCTGGTCTCTACTACGGGCCCACGTCCCTCAAAACGAAATTATGTCTTAGAGGAAAAGATATGTTGTACGAGCTGTGCAAGAAAAATGATATTCCACACCGCAACACCGGGAAATGGATCGTCGCGCAAGACGCAGCGCAAATGGACGCTCTACAGAAGGTCCACGACTTCGCAAAGAGCATCAACGTCCCGATTCACTTTCTCAGCAAAGATGAGGCGAAAAGTCGAGAACCTGATGTCAGAGCCGAGGCCGGGGTACTAGAAAGTCCCAGTACCGGGATCGTAGATTCTCACAGCTTGATGCAATACCTCGAAGGTGACTTTGAGGACCATGGCGGAATCTGCGCCTTCAAATCCCCAGTCACACACATCACACCTCTCGACTCTGGACATAGTGGCTGGGAAGTCACGACCAGGGGGGAAGATGGCGAAGAAACCACCATAACAGCGGACACCTTGATAAACTCTGCCGGTCTCTTCGCCGTCCAAATTTCAAACATGATTCTACCCAAAGATCGGCATCGAAAAGCCTTCTATGCAAAAGGCTCTTACTTCTCTTATGCAGTATCCCGTCCCCGTCCTTCGACTCTTGTCTACCCTGCTCCAGTTCCAGGCCACGGCGGTCTAGGGACTCACCTCACCCTCGACATGTCCGGGCGCATTCGCTTTGGCCCAGACGTCGAGTGGACAGATTCGCCTACCGATTACGCGCCCAACACCAAGAACATGGCGCAGGCTATCGATGACATTCAAACATACCTACCTGGTGTGCATAGAGAAGCCATTCAGCCGGACTATGTAGGCATACGACCGAAGTTGGGAAAGCTTGCAGCGACGAGTGGAAAGGACTTTCAGGACTTTGTTATTCAAAAAGAGGATGGGTATGAGGGTTTTGTCAACTTGTTGGCCATTGAAAGTCCTGGGTTGACTAGTAGTTTGGCCATCGCAGAGGAGGTAGAGGGACTGCTGTATACGTAATAATGACGATTCCTGTGAGTAACCTGCCCGAGGCAGGTACAGAAGTCAGATTGGGGGGATGATATTGCTTTTTCTTTTCCAACAAAAAACACTACACGGCGAAAACACACGAGTATGGCAGAAATAATATTTCCATTCAGCGTCTTGTGCAAACGTTCATTTTAGACATTACGCAGAAAAGGTGATGTGTATATGATCCATCACATAGCTCCTACAACATATATACCAAGAGGCATCTGAGAGCGAACCAAGTCATGAACTAACCAACAATCACGCCGTGTGGCTGATCCGTAATTTTTGATGCCACACACCCCACCGTCATGTAATGATATGATAATATGTACAGTAAGGAAAAGTTTTTGCGAGAAAAGACACTCGCGGTGTGTTGCGGTGCTCGCTGAAAACGCCGGGACATCCAATGCGCACGAAGTTTAATGATAGGAAAATGTTAATGCTGAAGTGTCGTTGACAAAGCCTTCTAGGCGGTAGATGGACGAAAGATCAAGACGCTAGATCAAAAGACGAAGAAAGGCGTTTACTTGCGGGGCTGCTGCTTGCTAAGACGCTTCCTCTTCTTGGAGTCGGTTGACTCGCTTCGTCCGTGGTTTGACGCTGGCATCGTGGGCTGACCAAGCGGGGCAGGTGATACATCACGCATCAGGCTGCTTTGCTGTGGGGCCTGGAGCTCAATGCCGTCACCAGGTGCAGTGTGGACGTATTGGCGAGCAAGAGGACTGCGTCCCTGACGCTGCTCCATGCTGTTTGTCCTGTTGTACGAAGGCTTGGGCGACTCAAGACCGGTCTGCTGGTTGGATAGCGGCGATGTACGGACAGGGGCGTGAGCAAGGTCGCTGTTGGTACGCATCTGCGCAGGCCGTTGTGGGCCCTTGGACTGGTACACAGAGTCGTCATCGATGGAGTCGACCGACTCGCTGTACATGCCCTTACTAGCACCCGCACCGACTTCATATGGTCCTGACCGTGGCTCCTCGTAGAAGGCTCCACCGGCAGGCTTTTGTGTTTGTTGAGTCTTGTGGTAGATGCGCGCATCCTCGGGGTCCATGAAACTCTCGACACGGCGGGGCATGTAGATGGAGTTGGCGGCAGAAGTTTCTTGCGAAGCAAACGAGTCCATGGAGGAACGAGGGTGGAGAGGCACGTGAGGAACGTTGGGGTTGCGGGGCATTGTGTTGGGAAGCGTAAGGCCAGAGTCGTTGCCCTGCTGGTACCATCCGTTGGGTAGGCGTTCCGCAGCAGCAAAGCGACCCTCGATGTTCTCGCCAGGCTGGAGGGGGATAGGAGCTGGGCGGTGCTTGTGTGCTTCAGCAGCAGCCTTGAAGGTCTCAGGAACCACGTTCAGGTCATCGCCAGTAGCCTCAGCGGCCTCGATAGCCTCCTGGGGCGTAGTCTTGTTGTCAGCGCTACCGGCGTCGGCACGAGGACCACCCCATGTTCGTTGACCGGCAGTGAAGATACCGTAGACCATGTAGACCCAGTTGAAGAAAGGGTTGACGATGAACATGAGGGGGTACAGCATGATCTTGTAACGGCCGAGCTTGGCACCAAAGTAGAGCATGAGAAGCCAGTTGAGACCCAGAGAAATGGCAATGAAACCAACGGGAAGGTTGGCAACCTTTTGCGAGGTAGTGATCAAAGAGATACACAGGATGAAGAAGAGCAGCGCAGTCGTTCGGATGGTGTTCTGCATGAAGCGGACGATGAGGAGAATTGGGTAGCGCTTCCAGAGACGAATGTCAGTCAACATGCAAACTTCGTTGGTGATAAAACCCAAGAACCAGCGGCGGCGTTGCTTAAGCAGAGATTGGTAGGTTTGTACAGCTTCGGTTTTGCAGAAAGCTCCAGTGTTCATCTGAATCTGGTATCGTTCTTTGGCACCAATCATGAACAAGTGAGTGAGCCAGCGGTCCTCGCCCAGATGGCACTTGCCGTAGTCGAAGAGATCGTCGCATTGCTCGGCCTTGTCAGCGAAGTAGTACTTGGCCATTCTGCGGAAAGCAGAAAATCGAAGCATAGTGAGAGCACCGGGCAAGCAAGTGACGGCACCACAGCCGGACTCGACTGAACGCTCGAACAATTGACCGTGGACGTATTCCATATCTTGGAGAAGGGTGATGAGCGAGTTCTTTTCAGTTGTAGACGTAATAACACCAGTCTGAGCCAACATGTTCTTCTTGCTGCCAGGCTTGAGTTCCATCTCGTACATGAAGTTTTGAATGCAAGTCTTGTCGAGGATGCAGTCGGAGTCGATGAAGAGCACGAACAAGTTGTCGTTTCGCTTGAGATACTCGGAGTAAATCTTGTCGATGAGCTTGAAGGTCCTCTTCTGGCAGTGACGTTTACCACCGTGGGGGAAGCGGGAGATGGTAATGCGGCAGCTACGGTAGATGACATCGATAGACTTGGGGTATGTGTCGAGCGTAAGAGGGACGCCGAGCTTCTCGATGGTGTTCAGGTAAAGCTCGTCTTCCTGGTCTCCGTCGAAGGAGAGGAAGATGTGCAGACAGGAAGGTGGGTATTCACAGTCTACCAGAGAGTCGCAGGTTCGGAGAAGAATCTCGGGAATTTCCTTGTAGCAAGGCATGATAATGACGACCTTGGGAGCGGATGACTCGTCGAGAACAGATTTGATCCTGCGGCTGCGACCAACGGAGTGGGTGACAAGCTGGTAAACACAGAACAGCCACGGAACAGTCAACAGACCGGCGAAAGACCAAAACGCGAACCACTGGAGGAAATCCACCATCTCCTGGGGGAAGTACTTTGTGACTTGCGAGGGAAGAGGCAGGGTAACGACCATGATTGGCAAGAAGATGGCACTGTTGCTGTTAGACTTGGTTGTCATGCGAGGACTAGAATGCTTACCGGAGCGCGAAGAAGAGGATACCGAAGAAAATGGACAAGATGCGAACACTGATCGTCTCTGCCTTTTGGAAGACCTTGACAATGCAGTACAGGAAAGCGGCAACCCAAAGGAACCACTCGAGCAGAGCAGCCAACATGAGACCACCAATGATAGCAACATAGGCAATCTATTGCAGTCAGTTTCAGTACCGAGACGATCGGCAGGCGATGTACTCACATCCTTAGCTGGCCAAGGGTCGGTAATGTCTGGGATAGAGCCGTCGACCTCAGCGCGGGCAACCACCGCGCGGGCGGCGAGGCCCATCATCTCCTGCCAAACCATGGCGGGATATTAGGTATGTATATTCGTAGTTGTCGTTAGGCGGGATAGCGAGTGAGGCGGGTCGAGTAGAGGGGAAGATGTTGAGTAACAAAGAACCCAACAGTCGCACAAGGCTAGATGACTAGTCCAAGTAGCGGAGAGGGGGAAAACGTAAATCCAGAAATGTTGGAGAGCCGAGAAAACTACTAGTAGTGGTGAGGTATTGGTGTTTGGCGGTGGTAGTAGTAGTAGTTGTGATGTAAGCGGATGGTGAGTCTTCGCAGCGCCCAGATAAACGAGTGTAAGGGTGGGAAGGACAAGAAGGGCTCAGATCAAGATCATCAACAAGATAACAGGATACTGCACACAAGGGCAGTCCGGAGTCGTGTGGGAGGAGCGCCTTGAGGAGGGAAGGAACTTGCTACGAGGGGATCGAGCTGGTTTACAAGCACGAAAAGCGGGCGCGCTCGGTCCACATAGCCTTGACCCAAATTGACCTGGCTTTTCTGGGCAGCAGTCGAGATGCACGATCGTCACAGGGGCACTCCAACCACATCGGGCAAGCAGCCCGCGCTTTGATGTCGAAAGCGAGTTGCTTGCAGGCCTACGCCTGGTCTTAGTGGCCCCGACTCGTGCCAAACCACGCGCCGGCGGCACTATGCCTGCAGCCTCGCAGGTTATTTTGGGCGTCCCCATGCGCCGTCTACCGTTAGCTGTCTGAAGACTGCAGGCAAGGTGTTCCTCTCTGTTTCGCATGTTTCTCATCACAGATAGATGAGCCTTTTGGGCCTGCGTGTTTGAGGCACAATCAAGGGCATCGAGAGCCGCGGCACTGTCGCTGCCTCCGTGTTCAAGGACAAAGTCTGTCTCGTCCGGCAGGATGAGTCTCCAGCTCTCGCTTGACGTGGCACCATGGTGGTTGGAAATTCGCCTTCAATGCAATGCAGCTGGTGGCCTTTCATTGCCAAGCCATCTGGTAGCTTCGCGTGGACGCCGGGCGTTCAGGGGTCGGCATCGCTCACTGTCCTAGAGACATCTCCAACCAATAATGGCACCACGCCCTTGATGCCGCTCGTACTCCTCACGAGCGGCCCCAGAACATCGCGGTAGAGGCTTGGTTGTCACATTGGTCTATGGCTGGTGGCTGTCGCGAAAAAGAAGCCGTATCCCCTCATCCCTATTTCCTATTCCCTCTCCTTCCACAAGTCTTGGAGCTGCGAGCGCTAGGAAAATACTCGACGAGAATACGAGCTCACGGTGGGTATGCCAGGCCGACCCGCTCCAAAAAGCACGAAACGGCGACGGCGGCCCCCAACATCCATGGACACTGACAGGAGGAAACCTGTGCCGCTTCCGTCCGTACCGGTAATCATGAATTTTTGCATGTTCCACAGCTTGGTGGACCGCCCGCTCGTCATATCGCATATAGCAACGTCAACGTTGCAGCACTGGAGCCAGTCTTTGCCATATTTCCTTGAATAGATCTCGCCAACCCACTTCCGCTGAGGCTGAGGACGGCTCGCAATCGATAATGTCGTTGCGCACCGGCGTCGTCCCGTAGTTTCGGACCTGCTTTTCCTGACCCGAGCACGACAAGGCGCTGATCCTTTTCGCTACCACGCTGTTCAATCTTGTTTGCTGTCGGCCCAACGGTTACGGATCGCCATCTGCACGTCTAGCATTGTTGACTTGTTTACAGCGGTGTACACATGCGGTTGAGCTGCCCCATGTTCGACATTCCTTCTGGAAGGACTGGGATCATGGCTCGTATGTCAATCTTACACGCCCGTGTCGCACATGAATCGCCGCTGTTGAGACGAGTGCGCTTACCGACATTCCGCAATAGCGCCGCGGCATATCGACATGCGATTTCGTACCGGACCCCTGAGCTGCAACCTGAGGCCTACGATATTTTGCTTTCTAGTGCGTCTGTTGACCAGTCAAGGACGAAAGAATGCGCCATGCGACGATTCTCAGGGGTGAATTGTTAGAGTTTGAAGCTAGGTAACCGTTTTCGCTCCCAGTTCCGCATCTATAAAAGCGCCACAGGGCTGAACTACGGGTAAAGCTCAAATTGAAGATGTCTTCGCCTAAGTGTGATATCGAATGTCATGTAGAGAAACAGCATGACTCTCATTGCTTGTGTCGGTACTTGATCTTGGTGGTGAATCTTCGAAAAGGTCTACCTGGGTACGACAATTCATGTCTCAGCGATGACTGACTCGGATTGTCGAGCTGCGCAAAGTGCATCGTTGGAACCCGCATTATCAGAACACCAATGTATAGTGATGTTAGACTGGTTGTCGAATCGTGACTAGCAGGTAATGTCTCGATGTATACAGATAAAGTCGGTTTGAGGGGCACTCTGGTGTGGAGAAGCCAATTTCGGCTTAGTCATTCACCTCGTCTGAACCGCGGGACATTTGGTGACGCACGGATGCTTCGATGCGTGAGCGAACTCGCTGCAGGTACAATTCACCAAACCACCCGCAACGTCGACAAGAAGCCTCTCGACAGCGGCATTGCCAGAGTCGCAAATACGCACGCTCTCACTCGAGCTTGTCTCACCGAGCCCGAACAAATGCAAGCAGCAACTGCGCCTGATATATTTCCCACCTTCCATGTGCGCGTATCATAACCGATCCGTGCTATCTACCGCCCCTCCACCACTGCGGCATCGCCTACTCCACCATGGAGAGGCATAGGAAGCGTATGTGTCCACGCTGTGTGCGGCAAAGAAATGCTAAAAACGTCTAGGCGAGCTTCGTGAATTAAACATACGCGCATGGGATGGCGACCAAGGTACATGGGCCAAGAATAGTTGCAGTCGCAGCCCTTATGCTGACCATGTACACAGACATCTTCGCCGTGCAGGCCTCCCTCGACTCGTCCATGAAAAAGAATACGGCCTTCATCAAACGCCTGCGAACCGCCGTAAACGCAGCCGCTCAAGCGCAGTTCCTCCAAGAAATCCGCGCCCTGTCCCTCCATAAATATCTGTCCGAAATTATCTCCGCCTGTTACGAAGGCCTGTGCAAGCTCAAGACTCCTGGAGAGATTGCTGCCGGTGTAGAAATTGTCAGCGCTCTCCATCAACGCTTCGGCCCGACAGAGTTCACAGGATACATTGGTTGGTATATTGGGAGGGGCCTAGCCACACCGGACAAGTCGCACCTGAAGACATTGGCACCCGAAGTGCGCGAGCGTGAGGAAAAGGAGCGCCTGGCCCGCCAGCGCATCCTCTTACGAGTCGCCACCGAACTCTGGCTCGTGGGTGTTCTGCGCAGCCTGGATGACGTAGCCCGACCTGAGGAAGCGAGCAAGGCCAAAGACAATGGCAAACTCGTTGAAGGCTCTACGAAGACAAAGTCGCGTGCTGATAATGCCGACGCTGAGCCTTTTCCGCTCGAGGTTCTAAAGGACATGCTGGGACACGATCGCGAACATGTCAATCTACCCCTCGTCGTCATCTTCGTCAAGGCTTTTGCTTGGGATATACTGGGTGCCAAGCCATCTTCTGCAGAGGGTCGCAAGACTGTGAACGAGGACGGGACTACAACTGCAGACAAAAACGGGGAGGCTTCTGGCGCTGAAGACGAGGAGCAAGATCCGCCCATAATCTCCTCAGACTTGCAACAGCGTTTCATGAACATCCTTACCCGTTACTTCGAAGATGTCAAGACGCACCTCCTCCGCGACCAGAAACACATACTCAGCCAGGGCCGGAAGAACGCCGAAGCGTACGTCAAGTCTGGCGAGGTCTTCGAGGATCGCCAGTCCAACTACGAGAAGCAGATGAAGTCCCAAGAGCGATTGGTGACAAATGCGCAGATTCTCGCCGACGCTTTGGGTGTTGAGATGCCAGATCTCAAAGAGAAAGACAGTTCCGCAAACACGGGTGATGGTGCTATTGGCCTGGTCAAGGCGGGCGAATATCTGCGTGGCCAAAGCGATGGCGCCGGCATCTGGGAAGACGAGGAAGAGCGCCGTTTCTACGAAAATCTGATTGACCTGAAGGACCGCGTTCCTGGTATCCTACTTGAAGAAGTCAAGAAGAAGAAGACAGATGGTGATGAACAGGTTGGCAAGAAAATTGAGGCGAAGCCTGAGGCAATCGAGAAGGAGGCACCGGACGCTATAAATGACACAAAACCGGCCGATGGCGAGGACCAATCTACTGCTATCGCGAACAAATCCGTTGGAGCCCAGGTCGATGCCCTATTGGCACGCCTTCCAGAACTTGCAACAAAGGATGCTGTCGACCAGACTGCCATGGACTTTTGCTTTCTGAACTCAAAAGCTTCCCGCAACCGCCTCATCAAGGCCGTACAAGAGATTCCAAAGGGCCGATCCGATCTACTCCCTCTATACTCTAGACTCATTGCAACCCTCGGAAAATACATGGCAGACGTTTCTCAGGGGCTGGTATCCTACCTCGACGACGAGTTCAGAAGCCTGCAGCGGCGAAAGTCGAAAGATTTCCTGGGACAGGTGCGAACACAGAACGTACGCTACCTTGCAGAGTTGACCAAGTTCGGTGTCGTTCCTGAGCATGTCATCTTCCACTGTTTAAAAGTCAGCCTTGACGACTTCTCACGAATGAACATCGAAATCATATGCAATCTATTAGAGAATTGCGGACGTTATCTGCTTCGGAACCCCGAAACTTCTCCCCGTATGCATTCTTTTCTAGAAACCCTCCAACGCAAGAAGGGTGCTCAGGTTATTGGTCAACAAGAGCGCATGTTGATCGAGAACGCTGTGTATTACGTAAACCCGCCAGAGCGTGCGGCAATCGAACAGAAAGAACGGACACCAGTCGAGCTCTTCCTGCGCAAGATCATGTACCAAGACCTGACTCGTCGTACGCTTGACAAAACCATTAAGCAGGTACGCAAGATGCACTGGGAGGAAGAGGAGGTAGTCAATCTCCTCCATAAGGTTTTTGCAAAGCCGGGGAAGATCAAGTACAGCAATATCCACTTGCTAGCCGTTATGCTGGGGACAATCCATCGGTTTCA